TGGAACAGAACAGAATTGAAGAGTCTCCCTCAAATTTATAGTCAAGTGATTTTTGACAAGGGTACCAAGACTAACCAATGGGAAAAGAATAGTTCTTTCAACAGTGCTGGGAAAACTGGATAGCGGCAAGCAAAAGAATGATTTTGGGTCCCTCCCTCACATCACATGCAAAAATTAACTTTAATGGATCAAAGACCTAAATAAGAGTTGTAAGTATAAAATGGCTGGAAAAAACACAGAAATAAATCTTATGCCTTTGATTTAGGCACAGCTTTCTTAGGTAAAAAGTAAAGGTACTAATAACAGACAATAAAATAAATTGGACTTCATGAAAATTAAAAGCTTGCGTATGCCAAAGGTCATCATCAAGAATGCGAGAGAGCACCCACAGAGTGTAAGAAAATACTTGGAAACCATGTGTCTTATAAGGGACTTGCACCTAGAATACATAAAGAAAACTTACAATTCAGTATAAAGACAAATAACCCAACTTAAAAAATGGGCAAATGATCTGAAAAGACATTTCTCCAAAGATGAAATACAAATAGCCAATAAGCATATAAAAAAATTTTTCAACATCACTGGTTAGGGAAATGCAAATCAAAACCACAATGAGAATCTACTTCATACACAAGGAGGATTATAACTAGTAAGACAACGATAACAAGTGCTAGTGAGGAACTGGAACCATCATACAGTGCTGAGTGGAATGTAAAATGGTACATCTGCTTTGGAAACAGTCTAGCAGTTTCTCAGAAGGTTAAACACCATACATACATTTGACCATATGACCCAGCAATTCCACTAGTACACAAATTTCACCATATGACCCAGCAATTCCACTAGTACACAAATTTCATTGATGGCAGCACTATCGATAATAGCTAAAAAGTGGAAACAATCCCAAATGTCCAACTGATGAACGAATAAATAAATATGGCATATCTACAGAATAGAATATTACTTGGCAAAAAAACTAATGTAATACTGAAATAACCTTCAACACGGATGGACGTTGAAAACATTATACTAAGTGAAAAAAGTGAGTCTACAAACAGCCACATTTGTATGATTCCATTCATGAGAAATGTCCACACTCAGCAAATCTATATACAGGGAAAGCAGATTAATGGTTATGTAGGGTTGGGGGAGAATGGGAAAAAAGAGTGACTGCTACTGGGTAAAAGAGTTTTTTGGGGGTAAAGAGAATATTCTGAAACTGATTGTGGTAATGGTTGCAAAACTGTAAATATACTAAAAAGCACTGAACTGTATACTTTAATTAGGTGAATCATATCTCAATAAGGCTGTTATTAAAAGTATAAATTGAAGATAAATTTCTATATGCACACACATACACAAGATAATAGTGTTTTACTTATTTTGATTTTATATGGTTTACACTGAAAAACTTGATTCCTAGTAGCACTATGATTGTCTCACCTATATCTGTATTTATACAAATAAAAATAGTACCTGAATAATAATATTACCAACATTAGTAAAAACAAGGTAAGATTTTTTTTTGTAGTTTTTATTCCTAAACTGTATCCCACCAAGAAGCATAGTCAAAATACTGTGTTATAAAGTTATTTGATAGAGTTCAGGAATGTTTAGTTCACAGATGTTTCATTTTAGCTATTTTTAGGGGTCATCTTGCCCTCCATTTCAATCTAATTTTGTTTTATAATTACATAAAATATTTACATGGTTACAATGTGAAAACATGGTATATTTAGAGAAGTCCAGTTCTGTTCTTGTCCCCTCCACAATCTGTTTTTCTTCTTCCTCTTCTCCTATTGGTAATCCATTTTATTTTATGGTATATTCCTTCATTTTAAAACAAATTAAAAGCAAATACATAAATACATAAGTGATAGCCTGCATTTGACACTGCTTTTTTTTTTAACATTATATTTGTGGAGATCACTGTATACAGAAAAGTATTCATTTTGATGGTTACCAAAATGCAAAAAAGCCTTACAAAATATTTAAGTTATGGTACATATGGTACATGTATGATTTTCATTCTGTAGAAAGGACAACTCATTTCTTTTGCTGCTACATAGTACTGTACTATTTGAGCCTGGGAACCAACATATGGGTAAACTGTAATTTATTCACCCAGCCCACTACTGGACACATAGGTTGTAATCAATATTTTGATATTATTGTAAACAGGGCTCCTATATTTATACTTTTGTCAGCTTGTTTCTGGGATAATTTTCTAAAAGTGGGAATGCCGAGTCAAAGGGCAAATCCATGGGTAATTATCCCCAATACTCTCAAATTCCTATCCATGGAAATTACTACGTTTTGCATTCCCACAAGCAATGTATGAGAGTGCCCTTTTCCAATCAATGGAAATCAATCAATAAAAAAATGTTATGGAACTTTTGGAGTTTTGCCAATGTGATAGGAGAAGAACAGTGTCTCAGTGTAATTTTAATGTGAATTTCTCTTACTGTGAGTTAAACTGAATATTCTTTTATATATGTTTAAGAGGCATTTGCATTTGTTTTTCTGCTGGAATCTTTAGTTTCCTACAGATTTGGTGATCTCTCTCTTTTAAAAGTTGTTTCACACATTAAGGTTAATCATACCAGCAAATGTTTTTTTCTTAAGTCCTACTTAGGAAAAATTTCACCATTTCCAGGGTATTTGTATTTTCTTCTATTATTGATATGGATTCACTTTTTTTAATTCATTTGAAATTTGTCTTGGTGTATGACATGAAGAATGAATCATTTTTGACTTATACCAGTAAGTTAGCTTAGTACTTTGCTTGGCTTTACAGCCTGTAAATAGGCATATTTATGTGCCTATTTAGTATAGTGAAAGACATTACACATTACTCTGAGGCCAGGGAATTTTACATTCCATGTTCTGAAGATAAAAAGTTCCACTTTCACAGAATGAAATCATACTGTGATCTATCGCTATTAAATACTTTGAAAGGCTTTTTGCATTTTTGCAGCTACTGGAATGAACCACATACTTTCTTGCTGGTTGTGCCAAGTAAGATAAAATTAAACCCAATAACCAATTCCTGGATTAAAGACACTTATGAATTAAAATTAAGGTCAAAAGGTGAAAATTAAGATTAAATGGGAGTCTTATACAGGGTAAGTGCTCATATCTTTTTTTCTTCTTCTTCTTTTTTAAAGTAGGCTCCATGCCCAACGTGTAGCCCAATGTGGGGCTGGGCTTGAACTCACAATCCTGAGATCAAGACCAGAGTTGAGATCAAGAGTTGGACACTTAACCAACTGAGCCACCCAGGCACCCCTCAGTATCTTTTTAGCTGAAATTTGACCAGTGTGATTTTGTGGGTAGTTTTGGTTGATTTGGGAAAAAATAAAAAGAAATGCAAAGATTGCAAGGTTTAATTTTGAAAATACATTAGGAATATCACAATCATTATTAATATTATCAATTTTAACATTAATCTTTCTTCACACTGACATTATGTTAAAAATGTGTATTTCTATCTTCATGAAAAAATTAAATGGCTGGATAAGTAGCAAAATTAGAACTTATACCAAGTAGAAACTAATACCAAAGTTTATTCTGTTACCCAGAGGAAAATATATAATGCTGCAAATAATTTACATTTGATAGTATTTAAATTCATGTCTATTATGTCAGAAGTTCTGAAGAAGGTTTTTAAAAGAATCAGAATTTCTAGATACGAAAAATAAAGCAGATTGTAAATGTCAGGACTCTGGGATGAAAAAAGTCTCCCTCTTCTACTTAGCCGCTCAAGCATATAAGGATTCATTACTCAATGAATGGCCTCTACTGGAATTTACAGTAAAGAGAGCAATGAAAGTAACATATGATAACATCAATGAATAATCTACAGTCTCATTTTGGCTACTTTAAGCAAACTTTTTAATTTCAGCCCAATCACAAGAACAAAACCATGGCCTCAATTTTGATATTTTCAATCTCCCTTTATTTCAGGTAGTGATGTTTATGAGCTGGGAGATTAGGAAAGAGGCAGGAAGAGAGATGGCAAAAGTCCTAGAGACATACATGGTTCTCTACTGGCTATTGAAAAACTTCATTTTATAGATGAAAAAGTTACTGCTCAGAGTTTGTGACCTAGACAAAGTTGCACAGCTGGTTAAATGGCAAAGCCAAACCAAGGTTTCAGGTCTTTGACTGAGTTAAATGCTTTATCCAGTTAAACTCAGTTTTAAAAATTCAATTCCATTTTTTCCATTATTTAAATTATTAAGAAATCTCAATATGAAAATTCAATTGTTTTTATCTTTGCCTGATATCTTTTTTTCTATATTTAATCTTAGGAAGTAAATACTTTTCTAGTGGAAAATTATTACCTTATTGAATATAAAACTCTCCATCTAAAAAAAATTCTATAAACATTCCTTGTGGGTAGGAGACTAAAAGGATAATTTTACTACAGGATCCACCTTAAATATACTGAACATTTAAAATCATATTTAATTAACTTATATCATTCCAGATAGGATAGCTGAAGCTAAGGTCAAATTCTAGTCTAAAACATACTGAGGATTTACTATGGATCAGGTACTGGTGCTACAGTTAGAAGATAAATTACCAAATCAAAATAAAAACATGTATTGTAACCTTTGGGAGTAAGCTCCTGATTGAAAGAAGTGAAATTTCAGTGGTCTCCTATACAAATATTCAATATTTCTGATGAAAATAAAACTTTGAAGAGTGTTTCCAAAATACAATATAAAGATCTAAATTAAATAAAATCTTCCAAAGTTTCTGCAATTACTGAGAACACTATTAAGTTATATTTATAGATGTTAACTCCAGTTTAATGAATTCTCAATGACAAGATCATCTTATTTCAGTAATACAGCATTTAAAATACTCCAAAATATACTTAGAGATAGAAACTAGATTCCAAATTACTTGTCTGAAATGAAGACTATCCCAATCTATCTAGTTTCTCTCTTTGCTAAGGTTGGGAGATTGCTAATGGGAAAGGACACGTGTACCTTTCCATGACAGCCAGGCACTCCTTTCTCCAGGTAAATCGACTCCCTCGTCGTAGTCGGAAGGTGCCAGATGTGGCAGAGACTGGGGGAGGTGTTTGTCTCCATTCTGGGTCCTCTATTGGAATGGGGGCTGGTCTCATACTTAGTGTAGCCCCTGAAATAAACAAGACATTTTTAGCAAATATCTTGCAAGTTATTAAAATCAATGACAAATATAATCATGAAATTAACAATAAATTTTTGTCCTTCCATTGGAACTTGCAAGCCAAATACATTTGATATTTACATTAAAAAAAAATCCCCTGGGCGTCTCACAGTGCCTGTCCCACGCCAATGCAAACTGTTCCCTTGAAACCACTGCCTAGCCTCTGTGCTACAGGCTATGGGCACTGAAGCAAATTGCACTATGGGGGAAAAATGTGACCCAAACAAAAATTCAAGGGACAGAAACTCTTCCTTAAAAAGTTTATAATTATTTTAAAATGTCATTTTTTGGGTCACTTGTCTTTTATCTTTGTTTATATAATTTTTTGAAATAAAGCCCAAAATCTATCTCTTTAGGGCAAAAGGGAAGTATGGTCTTTGGACCAGTGACTATAATTAGAGTATCTTCTGAAAAATCTTTCTTGAAATTCCTGATAGTTTTAATCTTTCGAACAATATACACTATATGATCAGAACTTTTTGTTACCACTCAAAGTACTCTTGTTACTGAGAAAATAGAGCCCTTAAAGAATGTATGCAGATAGAAGATGAATTTAAAATAGCCCTAATTGTGGTAAACTCTTAAAAAAAGTCAAATATAACATCAAAGACAGTAAGGTAGTATTCAATATGATTTGTCTACTAGTTAACTAAAATTAGATCTCCATAGGTCTACTACCTGTTATAGCTATACTGGTTTCTGTTACCTCTTCAATGTAATAAAACTAATGGGGAAAAATGTAATTAGGACATTTTATTAATTTAGACTAGTCTTTTCTTTTCTTTTCTTTTTTTTTAAAGATTTTATTTATTCATGAGAGACACAGAAAGAGAAAGAGAGGCAGAGACACTACCAGAGGGAGAAGCAGGCTCTATGCAGGGAGCCTGATATGGGACTCAATCCCAGGTCTCCAGGATCAGGCCCTGGGCTGAAGGTGGCGCTAAATCGCTGAGCCACCCAGGCTGCCCTAGACTAGTCTTTTCTTAAACAATGAACTGCTGGGATCCCTGGGTGGCGCAGCGGTTTGGTGCCTGCCTTTGGCCCAGGGCGCTATCCTGGAGACCCGGGATCGAATCCCACATCGGGCTAAATAAATAATAATAATAATAATAAAAAACAATGAACTGCAAATGATGCATGTATTCATAAGTTCACCATCTCCCACCATCTTTCTTTTGGTTTGCTCTACGTTAGAAGCTAGAAAAACAAAACAAAACAAAACCCTAAAGACAAACAAAAAAAACCCAACATTGTTTCTGACCTCTGTAGACTTATTTCAATGAATTTAAATATAACTTGATATGTGTTCATAGAGTTCAGTCCTGGGATCTCCCACTGTTTCCCTTCATTCTCTATACCGTTAAATTCATCTTCCCAAAGTATAATTATGATCATAGCATTCCACTGATCAAAAAGCCTTCAAAAAGTTCCTACTGCCTATGGAATAAAATACAAACTCTTAATATAGCCCTAGAAAGATGGGTTAGGAATTGTTGAAGTATGTGGAAATAATGCACATAATAAATATATATTGATTTCTTCATAAGAGGAATCATACACTATTTATTATTACACATTGTAATTAATATGTTGGGTGGTTTTTCTATTTTACTACATTCAGATCTCTCTTTGTAGACCCCCCCCACCCTTAATGTAAGCTACATATTTATATGCATTGTTATACAGAGGCCCAGTATTTTAACCAATCCTGATTTTCCTCTCCAAACCTGTTGTCTTACAGCCCTTTCCATCTGAGTAAATGGCATCCCTATTTTTCAAATTGCTTGGCTCAAAATTTGCAGATACATCTTTGACCTCTCTACTTCTCCTATGTATCATATATCCAGTATATAGCAAACCTTGTTAATTTTATCTTCAAAGTATATACAGATTCAGATCAATTTATATTACGTCAACAGGCTTTAGAATAAGCCAGCATCATCTCTCCAAAGCATAACTTTCTGGGATAGGTTCCAAAGATGGCCCTTCACAATAAGTCACACCTCCTGGTAATCATACCCTTGAATTCTAAGCTGGTCCTGTGACATGTTTTGACAACAGAAAATGGAAAGAGTTCAAGGCTAGGTCATAAAACGCTTGCAGCTTCTAACATCTCCTGGAATACAGGTTCTGGGGGGAAACTAGTTACCATATAAGAAGTATGACTAACTTGAGACTGTGATATTGTAAGGAAGCCCAAGCTAGCCGTATGGGGTGAAAGATGCTCAGCTACCTCCAGGTGCCACAGATGAGGAAAAAAAGCCACTCTGGGTATTCCAGTCACAGCAGACACCATGTAGAGAACTGTATAACCCAGCTGACAGAAAGGCCCTAGTACCAATAGAGTCATGTGGTAGTCAGCCCTCAAGGTGGTTTCAAGGAACTCTGCCTACTGGTATTCACCCTGTTGTGTAGTCCCTTCTCATACTACACCAGGTTAGTCTGTGTGACAAAAAACATATGGTAGAAGTGAATATATATTATATCTGACATTAGATTATAGAATACACCATAGTATCTTATCTTAGTAGCTCTGGCTCTTAGATCACTTGCTCAGGGGAAAAATAGCTGCCAAGTTTTAAGGACACTCAGGGAGCCTAGGTAGAGAGGAATTGAAATCCCTGAGCAACAGGCAGAAAGGAAACTGAGGCCTGCCAAATCACTCATGGTAGTGGTCTTAGAGGCAGACTGTCCAGCTGCTGACAGCTCAACTAGAACCTCATTAGAACTCTGAGCAGAACCATCTTAGCTAAGCCACTACTGGATTCCTGACCCACAGAAATTGTGAGATAACAAATGTTTGTTGTTTTTAGCTGCTAAGTTGTAGGGCAATCTGTTGCACAATAATGTAAAACAAATATAAGATATTATAACCATCTCTAATTGTTTATTTCCCATATTCCCCAATATACTATTATGATCTTTTGTCTTTTTCTTTTGAGTTGTCCATTTAATGGTGTGTTGAAACAATACCAATTGCTAGTTCTAGAGATTGCAATTTTTTTCCCAGTTTGTCATTTGTCTTCATGGTGTGCTTTCTTTTTTCTTTTCTTTTTTTTTTTTTTAAGATTTTGTTTATTTATTCATGAGACACAGAGAGAGAGAAAGAGAGAGGCAGAGACACAGGCAGAGGGAGAAGCAGGTTCCATGCAGGGAGCCCGACATGGGACTTGATCCTGGGTCTCCAGGATCACACCCTGGGCTGAAGGCAGGTGCTAAACCGCTGAGCCACCTGGGCTGCTCTATGGTGTGCTTTCTGATCTTAAATCTTACGTAGTCACATTTGTCAACCTCTTCTTTTGTGGTTTGTTTTGTATCACTCAGAATATTTTTATAGTTTTCTTATTGTTTAAACCTTTAATAGATATATTTATTAGATACAAAAATGATTTCCTCTGGTGTGTGATGCAAAGTAAGTATTTAACTTGTTCCTCAAAAGGAAAAGTGTGTCACCACACAATGCTTTAGAGATTCATGGCTTAAATGTACGACAGACTATAGCCTGCTACCATAGTTCAAAGAAAGTTTTACTGGAACACAGCCATACTCATTCATTTACATGTTGAATTTACATAATTTACATAACATAATTTACATAACCCTACATTTGCATGAAAGTTAACAAAGTTAAGGCATAAGGAGAAAATATGGGATTGGAGAGTTTCAAAGTCTTTGTTTTGGTACTTTTCTGAATGCAAGCAGGAATTACAACATAACATGGGCTCTGGAATCTACCTAAGTTACATTATATAAATTCTGTTCCAACAGACATGATAAAAGGTTCAAGGCAGAAGTCAAGCAGCTATCTCTCTTTACCAAGACAAAGGTAAAACAGACTGGGTAAGGCAATAGGTCCTCTCATCCAAGGCCTAACTTCTAGTAAAACAATAGAATTTCAGGACTTCAGTGGGTAAAAGATAGAAAATAGGTCAGTAAATTGTAATTAGAAGGCCACATTATAACTATAGCATGTTTTCTTAGTTGAGTATAAATAAAATAAAGAATACAAAGAATCTTAATCATGAGATTCAAGAAAATCAGCTAACTGATAATAATGGTTCTTTCTTGGTACTGGTGTTTATTGGTCACGTAACTTCTCTATAATGTTCTATAATATCCAATTTTTCTATATAAAGGAATTTAGGTGAAATAAATTACTTTAAAAAGAAATCAAGGCAACTTATGCACAGACGAGTAGAAACTCAGTAATTTCAAACTTATAAACATACTGAATTTGAAACATAATATTATCGTATTACTTCTGAAGTTTTTCTCTTGCTCCTTTTTCTTTTTCAATGTAGCAGTATTTAAAAATAGCACAAGCAGCATTCTGGAAACACTCCAATAAACACAGATTTGTTCTAGAAACCTTAGTTAATCTTGCTTTAGTCAAAGCGGATGGAGAGCAATGAATAACCCAAGAATGGGTCCAAAATTATAGACTCTGACAGAAAAATACAAAGATACTAGAATGCAGGCTTTAAATCTCTCTGAAGTAAAATATGGGAGTTCTGGATTGGCTAAAAAACCCACTTTTTTTTTTTTTTTTTTTTTTACAGGAAATTTGTTATCTATTTTCTTTACAGAAACATTTTTTCCCTTCTTGTATCTGGGCTCTCATTAAGATTTTGCACATTTATCTAGCAACTCTAAACCCAAGAGGAAAAAAGTCTTTCCCTAATTTGCTGATAGATTTCTAAATTTTGATAAATGTTCCCTTTGTATATATGATAATTTTCTTATCAGATTTACTTCTGAGTGAGCCTTTGCCAGTCAACTAATAAAATATGACTATAAGCATGTCATTACTATCCTGTTCATAGAAGCTACCTTCTCCAAAAGTAATTTCTCATTGTCCCCTATGTCACACACGATTTTCCTGAGGCACTGACACTCTGCAATAGTGAAGGGAGGAGGCATTACTTCTGATCTCCAAATTTACTTCATGT